GTGTAGTGGTTATAACACCGGTCCTTTTACCGAAGTGTCTTAGGTTCAAAGCCTGGTCAGGCAGTTGAAAAAATATTTCAATCAATAAATGCTATAAAATGCAACGGCATGTTGTTGAAGTTTTGACTCACTATTGCTAACTCCGATGTGAGAAGCAAGCCTATAAAAATTACTCAACAAATGTATAGTGTTGCTCATATCCGGCATATTGTTGAAATTTTGAATCACGTTCTTCAGAATAGTGTAGCATAGGAACATTTTCAACTTTTTATTTTTGTATGTATTATTTTCGAAATGCATAAGTTTAATTTTATTTCCAATGCCGAAAAATAAAACGAAAAATGTGTTCTCAATTGTTGTATATAACCATATATACACCATATATACACATTTTCTGCAAAATTTATTATTTTTTTTTTCATATTCTTGTAATTTGAATAAGCCATAGCCTTACTACGCAGCATAAACGATTACATTTGGATATAGTATAATAAAGTATTCTAATCTTAATATTATTATTGATTGTTCTAACGTAGTTAATACATTTTCTGCAAACTAAATTAAATCAGCAAAGAAATTAGTGCATCATGAAATGAATACTTAAGAAGAGAATAAAGAGGAATACTACTTTTTTTTTATTGTTGTGTTTATTTATTTTTAATGGTTCTACGTTAATTATATGCAGTTATATTTTATTATACTAGAATAGAACAAAAATAATTATGTGATGTGAATGTTTATACTTATATGTAAATTGAATTACATTCTACGAAAATTGAAACAAATTGTAGGCTCCTGCGGTATCAAAAAGTACGGATACTTCTAGAAGGGCTAGAGACCTGGAACAAAAGGCAAAGTAAGGGTTTGAGAGTTGGGTCCCAGAATTCCACACGTCCTCCTCCTTAATCCCCTCCCAAGCTGCTTTGTGACCGGTTTTTACAAAATGGCACTACACCTTATAGGAATAATTTGTATTTAATTTTGATAGTATAAATATTATGTTAATATAATTTCTGTAAGTGTGAGTTATAACAAGAAAAGAAAACTTCCTTAAGAAAATTGTTAAAGTGAATAAAATCTTCATTGTTTTATTAAAAGTATGTATGTGCGTAAGTATTTGCTTATGTATTTTTTTCGCGATTTGCTCTAAAAGTATTACTAAACAAAACATAAGTGTACATTTAATTTCTTGACGATATATTTTTAGGATAAAATTTAATAAGAAAGTGTTATTTGATTGCATTAAACTTTGATCAATAAGGTATTTTCAAAAAACATTTAGGGGTGGAAACTCACTGATATTGATTTTTATAGGGCTTTTTTATTTTCATTTTACATAAGAACAAAAAAAAAATAAAATTATCAATAAAAAAAAAAAAATTCATCTAACAAATCGCATTTTTCAGGGTTTGAACCCGAGACCTCTTACATAGAAATCATATGCTATACGCATTACTCTAATTATTATTAGTATTACCTACACATTCACACATTTTATTCGCACGCATTATAGAATCCGAATACATACGTATGTGTATGGGTTTCAATTAGTTGTATGGGTTTTACGCGTGTATAATAATTGATCGCTTAAAGTACTTATTGTCAATTGTAATTTACGATTTTAAGCGACATAACTCAAAACGAGGCTCTAAAATAAGTTTACTCAAAAAATAGTAGGTCTAAAAGGAAGTAATTATTTGTTTTCTTATTTTAAGTTTTTTGCTGGTTAGAAAACAGACAAATCTATAGGTGCGTTTTTGAAGAAAAAAAGTAAACTTAAAATATCTCACACACAGATAGAAAACAATTTCAAATTCTTGCAAAGCTTATAGTAAATAAGTATAGTACAAGGTGTTCGCATAAGGTAACAAAAAATTTCGGCGATTATTTTTTAATCAATTTCCATCAAAAAGTTGTATGGGTGAGAGGGGGAGCTATACTAGTTTTCGAGATACAGACTGTAGGTAACAATAAATGAAAAGGTAACAAATTTTTCCTGCATATAAATAAAACCTTACTTTGAAACCATGCAAAACAAAAATGAAGTTTCACGAAAATTTGTGTTAATATTTTTTTATTTTGTTTTTTTGATGCGTTACAATAAGAGATAAAAGTAAACTTATATAAATGGTTAAGTTAAGTTAACGCTAGCGGTAAATATCATGCCATCAAAAAATATAATTATTTTTCTTAGCTCACTTGCTAACTGTTCATTATGTTAATTCTTCTTTTAATTTTTTTTCTCATCCTAAATGTATGCAATAGATCTTTATATATATTGGACATTTTCATTTTTTGAAGGAAAAAGTACTAGTAAAGTTCTTTAACCATGGGCTTTAATCATCTGTATTTATTAAATAATATTGCACATATTAACTACCTGACCATTGGTGCGGTGGTTATTGCACAGGTCCTTTTACCGAAGGGTCTTGGGTTCAAAGCCAGGTCAGGCCGCGTTTCGAAAATAACACAGGCAAAAAATGTTTCTATGAGATATTACACGAGTAATGAGATATTACACGACAAATACACTTAGAATTGTATTTAAAAATTTCTGTAACTTAAGACCGTGAGTCAAAATCTCAAGAAATATGCCATGTTATGAAACGCGTATTTTGCTAAATTTTTTAAATAAAGGCAATTTATAGTTTATAACGTAAGTATAATGGGTAATTTGTAACTCCTCTATAGTAATCCATTTATTTATGTGGGAGTTATAATATGAAGTTAAAACTTCTTTTTCCATACTTCAATATAAATACATTTATTTGTATAATATGTATGTACGGATCTACATATACTTTTAATTGCTTTAAACACCAAAAATTCGTCTCGATCCATTTAAAGGCAAAATTTATCAGTGAGAGTGGAAGTGTACTTATGTAAAAAAAATTTATTGCAAATTAAATCTAAAAACTATACAGGAAAAACAATATTATGATGAAATTTTTACGCCTAGATAAGAGTATAGAAATGTTACTTTAAAAAATATTAACGATGTTAGCAATAAAGTAAACTCTCGCTTATGTCTCGATTATTGTTAAAAATTTACGACATTTGAGTATGGAGTTTAGAGAAAATTCACGATTTTTAAATATGGGAGTCGAGAAATTTCAGGATTTTTTAGCGATTCAAAAGATTGAGTGCTCTTATATTTAACTTTAATGGGATCTAAATGAGATTTAAGGTACTTAATACGAGAAAATGGTACTTGAAATATTCAAACAAGGAGCGAAATACATTGTATCGAATATTTCTATAATCAAGGTGATTTAAGAGGAGAGATAACAATATGAAAATATTGCCGTATAAATCATTTTGAAATATAATATTCAAAAATGTGGGTTAGCATACATAAATAAATTTTTTAAAAAAAGAAAAGCTTTAAGCATGAACAAAACATTAATTTTATGGAAATACATGTATGTACGGTATATTTGTATTAAAATTTAAAAATTTGTCGTCCGTTAAGCCATTATATAGGGTTTTGCCTCTAGTGTCCTATTATAAGATTTTCTGAAAAAAATTTTATATAACGTAACAAAAGCACGTTTTTCTTTTGCACTTTATATTTTTAGAAACACAAACCGAGAAATAAATAATATTCAAAAATTATCTCACATATTTTTAGTTCGAAAATCTAAAGAAGCTTAAATAAATGTCAGCTTTTATCAAAACAATCGAATGTGTTGTGGCATCTGAAAATTAATGCTTCATTTGTTATTGTTTTGAGCATTATGTTTCGTCAGCAAGCTTTAAAAAAATATACATACGAATTTATGTACGTATGTAGTTAAAATTTTATTTTTATTGTTCAAGCGAAAAACTGTAAAGTGCTAAATTCTAATACATTCATATGTACATATATGTATTTGAATAAAATTATTATTTTGTTGTTGCTTAAACCTTTTCTTTATTTGAAAAATTTATTTCTGTATGTTCACCCGCAGTTTTAAATAAATAGGTATACATTCATAATGATGTATGTTTGTGTTTAAAATTTTATTTCTAATTTCTTGAACAAAAAAATTTAAAATATTAAATTCTAATACATTCATGTACATACATATATTTGAATAAAAATATTATTTGATTTATGCCCAAACCTTTTCCTTATTTGAAAAATTTATTTCTGTATATTACCCCCCTGATTTAATAATTATGTTTTTGTATTAGTTTTTAAATAAAACAAATTAGATGCTTATTCTAAGACTGGTTTATTATGACTGATTTTTATATTTAATATAAAAATATATGCATATGTTCTATATACAGTACAATTGAATATAAAGTACAGCAATGCTATTTAATATAAGGTGTGATTCACACTATTAAACATTAGGGGTGTTTTACATATAATTCATTAACATAATACATCTCCCCTTTTTTAAATTTAAATTTATATTTAAAAATACTAAATTTTATTTTAAAATAAATTTCAATTTCAAAACTATACATAATAAATTTTAATTTATTGATTATATCTATTAATCCAATTTACTTATTATAAAAAATTATCAAAAATATTTAACTAAGTTGGTATTCAAATTTCAATTTAAATTTCAATTTCTGCAACTTTTCATTAAAGACTATTTTGGAATAGAAATTCATTATATATAAAAATATTTATTCATCGTTATAATTTACATTATACATGTATATGTACATTATATACATACATATATGTATTTTATTTAATTTATCAAAATTCAATGTTTTTACATTTTAATTGTTACGTTTTCTTATAAAATTCGAATTTCTTCTAAAAATTTTATCATTAAATTGAATCCAATATGAACGTGGTGATTTATCTTTGCTTTTTATTGTAGCAGGTACCCATTCATTATTATTTCTAATATATACTTCTTGCCCTTCAAAAAAATGATTTTTATATTTTACATTCCTATCATAATACATTTTATTTCTTTTATTATTATTATCAATTGTTTTAATAACGTTATTATTTTTATTATTATAATTCTTAAAAAAAATTTGTTTACCAGGTAGCAAAGTTCTGGTTTTTCTACCCATTAAAATTTCAACTGGCGACAAACAAGAGCCCTTAATAGGTGTATTCCGATATTCGAGTAATGAAAGCCATAAATCATTGTTTGATTCCTTCGTTTTTTTTAAAAGTCTTTTAGAAATACCTACCATTTTTTCAGCAAATCCATTCGATTTTGGGTACAATGGACTACTCGTGATAATTTTAAAATCATATTTCTTTGCAAACTCCTTAAACAAGTATGAATTGAAAGGCATATTATCTGCTATTACAATATTGGGAATACCGTGATATGAAAACACTACCTTCAATTTCTCAATAATAGTTCTAGCTGTTTTATTATACAATGGTATAATATCCAAATATTTTGAGTAGTAGTCTCCTATAATTAAAAACGACTTAGCATTTAATTCCATAATATCTAATCCTATTTTACTAAATGGCATTTCAGGTATATCATGATTGATTAAAGGCTCCCTGGGTTCCGAATATTTGTATTTTTCACAAATGTTGCACTTATGAATTAACTCTTCAATTTCTAAATTCATGGTTGGCCAATATACAATAGATCTAGCTCTACTTTTAGTTTTTTCAACACCCAGATGTGGTAAATGTAATTGATATAATACGTCATCTCTTAAAGATTTGGGTACAAAAATACGGTCGTTCAAAAATATTAATCCATCAACTACAAAAAGATCATTTCTATTTTTCCAAAAAGGTTTCAGTTTTTCACATAATAATTCTTTTCTTACAGGCCAACCATCATTAATTGTTTTAAATAAATCCTTTAAAATTTCATCATTTAAAGTCTCATCCTGAAAAATTTTTTTCTTTTCATCACTTACATTTATTGTGTGTATCATATCAGACAGACCATTCATTTCTTCACATTCTTGCTTTTCCGTTTTAAAATTTCTTGATAAAAAATCGGCTATAAACATATATTTGCCTGGGCAGTATCTAAAATTTAAATTGTATTTTTCTAATTTAAGTTTAAGCCTTTGCAATCTAGGGGAAGGTATGCTATAATATTTTTTCGCCATAATTCCTAATAAGGGTTTATGGTCCGTAATGATCTCAATTTTTCTACCATAAATATAATTGTGAAACTTTTTACATGCATAAACTACCGCCAGAAATTCCTTATCAATTTGGGGATAATTAATTTCAGTTTCAGTCATGCTTCTGGATGCAAAACAAACTGGTCTTCCTTTTTGCATTAGACATGCACCCAATCCACTCCTCGATGCATCAGTCTGAATAGAAATAGGTTCAGTAAAATCAAAATGTTTCAGAGTGGGCGAATCTTTAATTAATAATTTTATTCTATTTAAACATTCAATTTCAATTTTATCCCATCTAAATAAAACACCATTCTTTAAAAGAGCTCTAAGGGGTGCTGATACTTCAGCCAAGTTAGGTATAAAACTACCCATATAATTAATAAAGCCCATTAATTTCTGTAAGTCCTTTTTATTTTTTGGATTTTCTAAATTTTCAATTGCTTGCATCCTATTCATGTCACATGCTACCCCACATTCATTTATTTTATGGCCAAGAAAGTAAATTTCATTTTTTCTATACTGTAACTTATCTTTGTTAAATTTAACATTAAGTCCTCTAGCTCTGTCCATTACTAATTTAACAGTTTCATCATGTTCCCTTTCATTACTTGCAGCTATACAAAGGTCATCAATATAAACGATTACATTTGGAATGTCGCCAAAATTCTGTTCATTCAATTTTTGGAATGCCTCAGGTGCAATTTTTAATCCAAAAGGCAGTTTAGTAAACCTATAAAGCCCAAATGGCGTACTAAAAGTACATAATGACTTAGAATATTCATTTAATTCAATTTGGTAGAACCCTTCCCTGCAATCAAATACCGAAAATAATTTTTTATTACAAAATTTCAATTTAATATCTTCAAATGAAGGAATTTCATAATACCTTTCCTTAATATTTTTATTAAGATCCTGAGGATCCAAACATAATCTAATTTTACCATTAGGTTTTTCAATTATAACGAGATTTGAAACCCAATCAGATGAAGTTTCAACCTTCTCTATCGCTTTTTTATTACATAACCGCTCTAACTCATCTTTTAAGGGTTTTCTTAGCATTTGTGGTATACGTCTAGCTGGTCTAGCCACAGGTATAGCACCACTTTTTAAATCAATTGAGAAATTTTTTATAAAACATCCACTACCCTCAAAAACATCATTATATTTCGCAAGTAAATCATTTATATTTTCTAAATTTAGATGGTCAATGCGCTTTATTAATTTTAATTTTGAACAAGCATTCAAACCCAAAATCGGAATGCAACTATCACTATCAACAATATAAAATTTTAATATTGTGCTAATATTTTTATGTACAACATTTAAATAAGTTATACCTAACGTCTCAATATTTGAACCATTATAAGCTTTTAATTTTATATCTTATTTTATATTTTAATTTTTTTACTTGTGACTTGATGCATGCAGGTTGACTTATTTTCAACTTTTACAATTCCCATGCACGTGGTAAAATTTTATATGCTAATCATGTATAATAAACTGCTTTTTCTTTTTTTTTTAAATTTAAAAATTCCTAATTTTCAGTCGTAATATTGTAAATATTTTATTAATGTACATATAACTAAACTTTAATATTGGACTTTTTTATGTAATATAATTAATAATCGCATTATAATACATGTGGCTCGGCTGCGCCATGTATTAGTTTTTAAATAAAACAAATTAGATGCTTATTCTAAGACTGGTTTATTATGACTGATTTTTATATTTAATATAAAAATATATGCATATGTTCTATATACAGTACAATTGAATATAAAGTACAGCAATGCTATTTAATATAAGGTGTGATTCACACTATTAAACATTAGGGGTGTTTTACATATAATTCATTAACATAATACAGTTTTTCTATATGCCAAACTACAGTTTTGAATATTATTCAATTCATATAGAAAGCTTAAAAAAACTTAGTTAGGAAGCTATAAAAAAAATATACATACATATTTATATACTTAACTATTATAACAATATTTTTTTGGAAATTTTCTTTAAACTTTTTATAATAATATTTATATGTTATATATTTAAAAAAAAATAAAACAAAAAAATTAAACAAAACAAAAAAAAAATTTAAAATAATCCAAAAAAAAAGAAAAATACGACAACATCCAGGCAAGCATCGATCAATCTGGCCTTCAAACCTTCTGGCTATCAGACTACCACGCTACGCACTAGGCTACGCAGTACCTTGAATTTCCCTTTATAATTTTATATTTTATTTATTTTTCGTATGACTCTTCAAAAACCATCCTATTTTACATTATATATATATAGCTTCTTCTCAGATACCAAAAAGTACGGGTACTTCTAGAAGGACTAGAGACATGGGACAAAAGGCATTACATAGGGTTTTGCCTCCAGGATCCCAGAAAAATCTTACATTAGAACTTTTTAGCCCCAAAATAGCTCTTTTTTAAGATTTTCTGAAAAAATTTTTGTATAGCAAAAGCACGCCTTTATTTTACCTTATATTATCAGAAACACAAATCAAAAAAATCAAATAATATTTGAAAATATAATGATCTTAATATTTTTAAGGACGATAAATCGGAATAAGCTTTTTAGCCTTAATTCGAAAACATCAGATGTTTAGTGATATCTACATAAATTTTAATGCTTCATTTGTAATTGTTCGAACGAAATATTCTAAAATGTCAAATTTCAATATTTAATAAATTTTTTTCCTAAATCTTTCCTTTATTTAAAAAAATAATTAATTTTATATGTTTACCTATGGTTTTGAATACTCTGTCTCGCTAGGAAGAAATAAACATGCGTACATATGTATGTATGTATGCATATTTTTTAAAGCTTTCTATGCATTTTTGTATGTACTTGAAAATTTTTCCGAATTTTTGCTAAACTTTTACAATAATATTATTATCAGCTGTTGTACATTTAAATATGCATATTTTTTTTGTTTTCAAATAAAAAAAAATTTAAGAAAATAAAATAAAAAAAAAACTTACAAATTAAACAAAAAAAAAATACATTCCGCACAGGACCAGGCATCAATCTTAATAATTTTGTTTATAAGATTGCCACTTTAACTACTGAGCTACGCACTACCTTGAATTTACATTTCTAATTCTTTCTTTTATTCATATTCTGTATAACTCTTCAAAAATCATCGTATTTTACGTCTGTTTTTTTATTAACATTAGGTTAAATAAGATCTCCAACGCTTGCAGAAGAAATCACATATAAAAAGAAAACGAAAAAAATGTACATATGTATAATACAATGTATGTATAATATCGTATTTGTATTGTATATTTGTATAAAATGTATACCGATTTTCTGCACAACATCATTATGTTTCGTTTTATTTTCAATAGGCTTTAGCTTTCTGCGCGGCATAAGTGATTACATTTGCATGTACATACATTGTATAATAAATTATTCTCTATATTGTTATTCATTGTTATGACGTTATATGTTATAATGTAGTAACACATTTTCTGCAAACTAAATTAAAACAGCAAAGACATTTGTGCATGAATTATGAAATGAATACTTAAAGAAAAGAGTAAAGTCAAATATTTCTGTTACCCTTTTTATTGTTGTTCTTATTTATTAATTTAAATAGCCAAATATTTATGTGATTTGTGTTTATGATACATGTTTATACGTACATGTGTTTTCTGATTAACATTCAATTCGTTTGCAGAATTGGTGAACTTAAAATTTTTAACCATTCTCGTGTACACTCATATAAAACGAGGCGAGAGAAAACAACAACAAAAATTCAACACGTTCATTGTGTTCACATATAAAGTGAACACAAACTTATAATTTTTGCCATGAACAGAATTCCGTCATGTTGAATATTTTTTTGTTTTTGTTTTTTTGGTATAAGCCTGAGAAGTACGATATTATAATATGTTATTAAGATTTAAGTTGAAATAAAAAAAAAAACACATAAATATTGAGGAATAATATTTCGCGTTTTATTCGTCAACATAATTATAAAAATTTCTAATCATTATAAACATTTATTGTACTGGGATCATTTAATTTTGTTGTTAACATTCAACATTATATATATAGCTACTTCCGAGGTGTGGAAAAGTACGAGTACTTCTAGAGACTGGGAAAAACGGCATTATTTAGGGTTTTGCGAGTAGGGTTCAAGAAAAATTTGACATTGGAACTTTTTAGCCCGGAAATAGCATTGTTTTTAAGATTTTCAGGGAAAATTTTTGTATAGCAACAGCACGTCTTTCTTTTATACTTTATGTTTTCAGAAACACAAAACAAAAAATTAAATAGTACTAGAAAGTATAAAGATATCACATATTTTTAGGATGGGTCGAAATTGGCTTACATAAATGTCATGTTTTTTCAAAGGTATAACATGTTTTGTGGCATCTGAATATTAATGCTTCATTTGTTATTGTTTTGAATATTATGTTTCGTCAGGAAGCTTTAAGAAAAAACCATATACAATTTCTGTACGTACGTACTTAAAATTTTAAATTATTTTCAAAAAACATTTAGGGGTGGAAACTCACTGATATTGATTTTTATAGGGCTTTTTTATTTTCATTTTAAATAAGAACAAAAAAAAATAAAATTATCAATAAAAAAAAAAATTCATCTAACAAATCGCATTTTTCAGGGTTTGAACCCGAGACCTCTTACATTGAAATCGTATGCTAAACGCATTACTCTAATTATTATTAGTATTACCTACACATTCACACATTTTATTCGCACGCATTATAGAATCCGAATACATACGTATGTGTATGGGTTTCAATTAGTTGTATGGGTTTTACGCGTGTATAATAATTGATCGCTTAAAGTACTTATTGTCAATTGTAATTTACGATTTTAAGCGACATAACTCAAAACGAGGCTCTAAAATAAGTTTACTCAAAAAATAGTAGGTCTAAAAGGAAGTAATTATTTGTTTTCTTATTTTAAGTTTTTTGCTGGTTAGAAAACAGACAAATCTATAGGTGCGTTTTTGAAGAAAAAAAGTAAACTTAAAATATCTCACACACAGATAGAAAACAATTTCAAATTCTTGCAAAGCTTATAGTAAATAAGTATAGTACAAGGTGTTCGCATAAGGTAACAAAAAATTTCAGCGATTATTTTTTAATCAATTTCCATCAAAAAGTTGTATGGGTGAGAGGGGGAGCTATACTAGCTTTCGAGATACAGACTGTAGGTAACAATAAATGAAAAGGTAACAAATTTTTCCTGCATATAAATAAAACCTTACTTTGAAACCATGCAAAACAAAAATGAAGTTTCACGAAAATTTGTGTTAATATTTTTTTATTTTGTTTTTTTGATGCGTTACAATAAGAGATAAAAGTAAACTTATATAAATGGTTAAGTTAAGTTAACGCTAGCGGTAAATATCATGCCATCAAAAAATATAATTATTTTTCTTAGCTCACTTGCTAACTGTTCATTATGTTAATTCTTCTTTTAATTTTTTTTCTCATCCTAAATGTATGCAATAGATCTTTATATATATATTGGACATTTTCATTTTTTGAAGGAAAAAGTACTAGTAAAGTTCTTTAACCATGGGCTTTAATCATCTGTATTTATTAAATAATATTGCACATATTAACTACCTGACCATTGGTGCGGTGGTTATTGCACAGGTCCTTTTACCGAAGGGTCTTGGGTTCAAAGCCAGGTCAGGCCGTTTCGAAAATAACACAGGCAAAAAATGTTTCTATGAGATATTACACGAGTAATGAGATATTACACGACAAATACACTTAGAATTGTATTTAAAAATTTCTGTAACTTAAGACCGTGAGTCAAAATCTCAAGAAATATGCCATGTTATGAAACGCGTATTTTGCTAAATTTTTTAAATAAAGGCAATTTATAGTTTATAACGTAAGTATAATGGGTAATTTGTAACTCCTCTATAGTAATCCATTTATTTATGTGGGAGTTATAATATGAAGTTAAAACTTCTTTTTCCATACTTCAATATAAATACATTTATTTGTATAATATGTATGTACGGATCTACATATACTTTTAATTGCTTTAAACACCAAAAATTCGTCTCGATCCATTTAAAGGCAAAATTTATCAGTGAGAGTGGAAGTGTACTTATGTAAAATTTATTGCAAATTAAATCTAAAAACTATACAGGAAAAACAATATTATGATGAAATTTTTACGCCTAGATAAGAGTATAGGAATGGTACAACAATTATGTTTATGTTATTCAATTTTTGTTGATTTTTATGTCAACTAAATGAATTTAAAAAAAAAGCTTAAATTATAAAATATGAAAAATTAAATGGCTGGTACCTTCTTTTTCAACAGAAATTGATCAAAGAATAATCTCTGAAATTAT